AAAAACAAACTCCACGGTAGGGTTTTCATGAATTTCAATAAAAGTAAAAATACTGAGAGAGACTGATAACGGCAGTCAGAAGAGAGAACAATGTCAAATTTACCGTCCCTCCCCTAGACGCTGCATTAGAAACACCCTCACATTAGCGTTAACTGTTTTATTGTAATTTGATGCAAAGGTGATATAATACAAAGAATGGTGTTATAAATGTACATACATTTTTTTTTAAATACTTTCGAAATCGCGTCCAAAATCGCATACTGCTTAGTAGGTACTACATTTGAATTTGAACGTACTACTCGACCGTTAAAACAGTACGTTCTATATAGTATGAATGCGAGTAGTATGAATGGAATTCGGACGTACTACATCCGCCATGTTGATGTTGTCACGTGACATGCATCTTCACAACAGCGCCCAAATTTAAAGAACCCTCACTACTGCGCGAACATCAGCAATGCTTCACGTAATTCTTAGAATCAGAATCAGAATCAGAATCAGAATGAGCTTTATTGCCAGGTATGTTTACACATACGAGGAATTTGTTTTCGTGACAGAAGCTTCCACAGTGTAACAGAATGACAGTGACAGAACAAAAAACACAGATAATAAAAATAAAAATAGAACAAGTAAATAAGGAATAAAAATATATAAATTGACAATTGTGTGTGCAGGTATATTACAATAGACAGCTCTGAACAGCTGAAAGCCCGGGAGACTCAACGCGCTGTCCGGAATGGCGTCTTTCAGCCAGGTTTCCGTGAAACACAGAGCAGCAGAGTTAGAGAAATCCTTATTTGTCCGGGAAAGCAGAAGGAGTTCGTCCGTTTTGTTGGGTAGAGAGCGGAGGTTCGCCAGATGGATGCTAGGCAACGGCGTTCTGAATCCGCGCTGCCTGAGCTTCACGAGCGCGCCGGCTCTCTTCCCCCGTCTGCGCGTCCTGAAGCGCTTGATCAGCGCCACAGCTCCCCCAACTACAATGTCCAGCAAAACATCAGAATAGTCGAAAACCGGTGAAATATCGGGTGGTGTGTATTTCCGAATGTCCAGCAATTCGTCTCTGGTGAAACTGAGTGCAGGGATATAACTAAAGAGAGGACAAACTAACAAAAACATAAAAACAACTGCGGAGCACGCCACGGAGGCAGCCATCAGCGTCGGCGCCATCTTGAAAAAAAAAACTTACTACTTTCATCGGCGATTAAACATCTTTTTACAGCCGATTCACGAAATCATCTCATCGATTTACAATGTTTAAACTTTCAATAAGTCAGCCGTTCACTTAGATCATGTTAAACAAGTGCAAGTCAACCACAATGAACAACCTTTTTCCCTAAGGTACTTACACCTGAAAAGAGCCACGTCGCTGCCTTCCGCCATTTTCGAATATGGCACCTCCTCTTCCATGGCCTCATGGGATAGTAAAGTGTCCATCGTATGCATGCTACGTACATGCTATTCGTAGGTCATCCGGGTACTTCTCGCCTACTGTTTTTCGAATACTATGAATTTGGACATACTACTCGCCTCGCATACTGTTTTTCGCCTACTATATAGTATGGAAGTATGC